GGGGGGGGGGGGAGTGCCTGATACTGCGGCCAGTAACTGGCGCTGTGCACGGGTTAAGTGTGCATGTTGTATAGACACTCAAGTACTGAGCTTCCCTACGCAAAGCCAAAGCAGAAGTGCCCCCGTGGAAGTGTGAGTTCTTCAGTGCCTGTTACTGGTCTTTACCCCTCATTCCTCCCAGCATGTAGTTAAAAGCATTTAGAAAGCGACTAGAGGGCTGGGACGATGAAGGGAGGTAGTTGGTTTGGGAGTTACAAAAACCTTGTGGGCTTGTCCAGCCTTGGTTCAGGAACTGCAGAGAGTTTGGGGCAGCGGGAGGGTCACAGATACTGGAGTCTAGGCCTGGTCCGGGATCCTTTGCTTGTGGAAGTGAAAGAATTCTCTGAACAGGAAAAAAGGAAACCACATTCCTTCCACATCTCCTTCTACTGGTCCCTTATAAAGCCATCTCATGTTTTCATGCTTTTCTGTTCCCTGGGACCAAAGGATGGGCCAAGGCAATGGGAATTTTAGTTCAGCTACATGATATCTAGTTTGTGTTTTATGTGCTGGGCTTGGAACCAAACTGTTCTTTAAGTATTATTTCTATGAAAAAAATAATTACAAACTTTAATGCAATTTACCAATTACCTTTTGGAATTAAACACATTTGTCACTTGGGGACTGACACTATAAGGTGCATTTAAGTAAACACAAAAGTATATGTATGCACTAGAATGTTGCGTTTCAAGCCAGTTGTTAGGTCTAACAGACATGTAGCATATTCTATATACTATAAACAAAATAAAAAACTTTACTTGATCAAAACAGTATCTATGATAACCTAAAACTTTTTTAAAAAGCTCTATTTTATATAGACCTTGAGTTTTAACATAGAGCTCTTTATTAAGAATGGAATTTTAAGAGAAGTATGAATTTTAGTAGATGCATGCTTTCAAATAACCACAACATTCCCTCGCCCCCCACATTCTGTCTTTACATTTAGTTTAAAAAACTAATTGTAAATGTACTACAGCTTTTTTTATCCACTCATCTATTGATGGACACTTGGCTGCTTCCAAATTTTGGCTGTTGTAAATAATGCTGCAATGAACATGGGGGGTGCGTACTACATTCTTTCGAATTAATGGTTTGGGTTTCTTTGGATATATTCCCAGAAGTGGAATTGCTAGGTCATAAGGCAGTTCTATTTTTAATATTTTGAGGTAACTCCATACTGCTTTCCATAGTGGCTGTGCCAATCTGCATTCCCACCAACAGTGCACAGGGGTTCCCTCTCCTCCACATCCTCACCAACACTTTTTGGTTGATTTCTTGATGGTAGCTATTCTGATAAGTGAGGTAATATCTCACTGTGGTTTTCATTTGCATCTCTCTGATGATTAGTGACATTGAGCATCTTTTTATATGTCTGTTGGCCATCTGTATGTCCTCTTTGGAGAAGTGTCTATTCAGGTCTTTTGCCTATTTCTTAATTGGATTGCTTGTTTTTTGTGTGTTGAATTTTATAAATTCCTTATGAATTTTGGATATTAAGCCCTTATTAGATGTATAGGCAGCTATGTTCTTCTATTCAGTGGGTTGTCTTTTCATTTTGTTGATGGTTTCCTAAAAGCTGTGGTACATTTACACAATGGAATACTACTCAGCCATAAAAAAGAAGGAAAGCTTACCTTTTGCAACAGCATAGGTGGACCTGGAGAGTATTATGCTAAGTGAAATACGCCAGTCAGAGAAAGACAAGTACCATATGATTTCACCCATATGTGGTATCTAATGAACAAAATAAAATAACAAACAAAATGGGGACAGATTTATGGATACAGAGAACAGATTGACAGCTGTCAGAGGTGAGAGTGTTGGGGGCTGGGTGAGAAGGGTGAAAGGATTAAACAAAGAAAAAAAAGAAAGAAAAACTCATGGACAGAGATAGCAGTATGGTGATTGCCAGAGGAAAGGGGGGTGGGGGGAGGTAGAAGGTAAAGGGGGAATAAATGGTGATAGAAGGAGACTTGACTTGGAGTGATAAACACAGAATACAATATTACAGATGATGTATTGTAGACTTATATACCTGAAACCTATATAATTTTATTAATCAATGTCACCCCAATAAACTTGATAAAATTAAATAAATAATTATAATAGAAAATTTAAAATGCCATATCTTCAATTTCCAATGAAGAGATAAGGCAAAAAACAAATCCATAATACAATAAAAATATTTATTGAAAAAATTTATTATGTCCCTTTAAAAGGCCATAAATGTTTTATATTTCATTTTATTTTTAAATAAGATCCTCCACCTAATATATATGCATGGATATTGTGTATGTGTGTTTTCCAACAGAACTAATAAAGTCAAAGTGACAAAGCAAGGACAATGCTTGTTTCCAAAGAATTATGTTTCTGGAACAAAGCAAATAAATAATTACATTTTATTATAACTAGTAAAACTTAACTTGATTTTCTGAAGACTAATTCTATTAACTTCTATGACCTAAAGTGCAGCTTTTTCCTCACTCCAGTAATTAGAGGGATATTAATATCTGTTATGTTTTAATGCTGGAGAGTCAGAATCAGTAATGTGCCATCACCCTGCCCACAATTTAGCATAGGCCAAAATAATGTTAAAAGAAACCCTACAGTATACAGTTGTCAAAATTTACCTGGAAGCTCTCAGAGGAATATTAGAACAACTGACGACAGGTGAAATAAAAGAAGTCTCAGACTTCCGAGTTCAGGAGGATTCAGCAAAATTTCTTACGGTGTCACTTTGGGCGTTTAAAGCCCTAACATATTACATGAATGCTTCCTGCAATTAGAATGGCAACTACAGGTGGAAGAGATGCAAAACTGCTTACTAAGTTGTTTGTATCTATTTCCCATTGGTCTCCTGAGGCCAAGGAGACAAGGAATTGTCCTGAGTTTTCAAAAACTAATTCACGTTAGCAGTGGCAGCTTATTAGGTGCCCCTGTGTCATTCCCTTAAAATCATAGACATGCCAACCAATTAAAATTATACTTTGTGGAAACTAAAGGAGCACAGCTAGGTGCTCAAAAAAAAAAAAAAAAAAAAGAAAGAAAGAAAAAAATCTGATATGCTAGGAGGAGCTAAGACACGCTTAACACAGAACCACAACATGCCTGCTTCGGCCCCCTGAAAAGAAACACATCTTTGGCATGTATGCTCTGTGGCTACCAGTGCTCCGCCAGGGAGAACTGTAATTTTAAATGGGGACTCTATCAGCAGGAAGAATTTATATCCAGTCAGAGAGGAAGCGGAGCGCAGCTCTTGTTGTCCGGCACATTTTAGTGCAGAGAAGCGCTTTGCCCTAAAGGTGCCAGGTAAAGAGAATCGCTGAGTAAAGAAAATTTACTGAATGCATTTCTAAAAGGGAAACATAATCTGACATTTTTTGTTTCTAGAATCTCGGAAAAGCGACTGTCCCCGGTTCGTATATACATTAAAAGGAAACTCAGAGGCAAACATACTGTCTGAGAATGCATGTGTCTGTATTTTTTCCCGTCTCATGATGTTTTCCTTCGTAATTATTTTGTATGCTGTGCTGTATTCAGAGGTCTGCCCGCGTCACACCTCCAGATGCTGTATTTATCGTCCCCGTCTCTCCGGTGCTTTTCCTCCCCAGGAGCCGCAGGATTGCGGGTCCACGTGAATCTTCCCATAGAACCATCCGCTTTGGACCGACACAGCCTTCGCCTCCCAGGCTGAAGAACCTGGGAATGGAGCTAAAGGTCAGACTTGCCTTTGAAAGCCAGTGGCATCCTCACCTCCCTTTCAGGTTTTAGGTGTGCCCTCCCCTCTCCCAACCTTTGGATAGCAGGGAAGATGCTTTTTACACATATGAAGCCCCTTTGTCTACTACCATTGATTTTACCATAGTTGTCCACAGTCTGTGAGCTTGTTCAGACCATTTTAGGGAGTCACAGGGAAGGATTAACATTTTTGCCCACGGGAGGACTTCCGAAAACTTAGGCTGGGCTAAAAGACAGACGGGTCCAAATAAAATAAAAGCGCCCGGTTTCTGATTTGATTCCCTCTCGCTTTTGCTAATGATGCTCCGCTGTGTCTCTTCACAAGGCAACAGCAACTCTGTTCCAACTCGTTCGTTGACAAAGTGAAAAGTTCCACCTCTGAGCAGGTAAAATCTGTTTGTTAGGGAAGGCCTGCTCGGCAGGAAGGGTGACAACAATTAGCACATGCTACTCATTAACAAACGGAGATTAGAAGGCAGCCGCCGCAGTGGCAGGCTGCCATCAGTGCGACAGTTACGGGGCAGTTTAATTTCTAACGAATGTGAGCGCTGGATCAGTAACAATATTCGACAAAATGCCGCCTGCATTCTCTTATGGCTTTCATTACCAAATTGAAAATCTGTGTAGATTTCTGAAAATTACTTTTAAATGTAGCCAATCTCCTAGACTGCAAGGCTTGATTTGCTGGTGAGGGAGCCCTGCTGTGAGATTTTAATGAAAGATCATAGTGGCCCTCCAAGGCCGGCAAAGAGCTATGGGCCCTCGAAGACCCGAAATAATCTGTTTTACTTTTAATGGCAGCCATTTTATATTCATTAAGATCAAAATGCAGTTTTGCAGGCAAATTGCAAAGCTGTTCCACTCACAGCTTGAGAACCTGGAGGCCCTACAGCTTTTTATCTTGTTCATAAGCAAATATGCAGTTAATATCTTTTAATATGCTTTGATGCTTGGTACCTTATGGGTACATTGTATCGGAGGTTAGAGGACTGCATGTTTCCTTGGCACAGACAGCCACCAACGAAAGCGGTCGTCCTTTTATTTCCATAATGGCAGGAAAAAAATGAGCCTCTCTCTTTTTATTCCCCACCCCTTTTTTTTTTTTTTTTTTTTTAAAATATGAGCTCTGCTCAGATAAATTGTAAAGCACCATATAGTGTCCATTCAGGGTCTCAGAGAAGGCACAGTTTTTCACTGGGATCCATCTGTTGGTGGTTCATATTATTTAAATTTATACAGTCACATTATTGAAATGTAAACAGCCAAATAAGATAGGATCAAATCATTGGCATCTGGAAACTGTGCTCTCATCCTCTTTGATTGTGAGGTTGTCTGCATTAATAATGGAGTTCTAAAGACTGTGATTCCACCTGATATACTGTATGACCTTAACAGTTGTGATTTTATCAGGGTTCCACTGTAGTAGAAAATGAAGGTATTTTGCAGCTCATTTCCAGCAAACCTAGTTTGCATTACCCTCTGTCCAGAGCAGTCCTGACCGTTTGGTGTGTTATGAAACATCAGCCCCCCCTCCGCCCGCTGCCCCCTTTCTGCTGTGCAGCTCTACTTCTGGTCCTGACCATGTGGTAGAGTAAATTCCATCAGGTTTCTCATAGCAGGTAAATGGTACTGTGATTATTGAACAGAGAGGAAGGGAGGGAAAAAAGAAGGAAGGAATTTAGTTTTGTGTGGTAAAATCTTGGCCGCTATTGCTTTTACCTCCTTCAATTCAGCAATTTCTATCTCATCTAAGACAAGAAGTAAGGTTGCTGCAAGTGGAGCTTATTACTCAACCCATTACTTGAATTCCACCTTAAACAATAGACCAGGGTTAGAAATAATTGTCCAAAATCACAGGACTATCCAATTGTTGTAAAAGCAAAATTTAAGGGTGAATTTTTGGTAGAAAAAGGGGCCAGCCAGGTCTATTTCAAGTTGCCTAAAGATTTGGAGGCTAGGCCAAGACAGAATGTTTGCTTCTTTACTCAAATTATTTCGGCTTTGGATGCATTCGGGGTGTCAGAGTCTTAGAATGAGGGTGGGAGTGAGAGCACAGGAGCCTTTCTGTGGGTAGGAGCAAGGCCTTCCATCTTTACCCAGCAGGAGATGAAGGTTTGTGTATCCCTTTTGACTTTCTAACCATTGAAACTTCAGCCATCTGAAAGAACATTGTGGGGCCTGCTGGTTTAAGAATGGGAGTCAGCCCCTTAATGGAAGTTAATACAATATTGTGCTGTCTCCAAAAAATAATGTGCCTTTAAGACAGCTCCATGGAAAGGGCAGCCTTTGTATCCCCAGGCCCGCCCAACCTTTGTACTTCCTTGTGCCCCACAGGCATGTTATAATATTGTATGGCATGTTTACAAGTCCTAACATCTTACTTTGTGCAATTGCATAGCTTCTTTGCAGGGCTCAAGAATGCAGGCTTTGACTGTCTGATGAGGGAATTCGATAACCCACTCTCTTTGGGTCTCAGGGCAAGGTGAAGGTGTCTGGCCTGCCAAGGCACAATTTAATGGGCTTCTGAAAACACTCAAAAGGCAGACATAAATGTGTGGATGGGCAGCCAGCCAGGGTGACCTGGGGAGAGCCCGGTTGATTTTAAGCAGGATGAGGTCGGAAGGAATGTTTCAGGCCAGAGCGGGCTGGTGGAGTCGGAGGGGCTCTCTGGAAGCCCGAGGGTTGACTGTAAAGGATTTACAGAGCTTGAACCCGACTCTGTAACTTAAGAGCTAAAGCATTCCCACCTGTCCAACTTTAAAAGGGAAATGGAAAATGTAAAGAACATATAATTAATTTCAACTACAAGCCTCACATATCTCAAGCCAGATAGGCACTATCTTCATTTCCTGTCAGCTCAATAGGCTCCAATACAAAAGTCACGTAAATTAAATTAAAACGTAAAATTCCCTCTCACACGTCTCTGTTTTCTATTTTTAATGCCTTGTGACATTTCATCTTTGATATGACTACTTTTTTCCCCTCTGTACAACACATATAGCACTTTCGATGTTGATTTCCGATCAGTTTTCCCCCTTTATGTTGCATCATACACCATCTTGGGACAATTAATGCATCAAGATCAGGGAGGAAATGGAAATGCACTTAAACACAAAAGGTTTCACCCGATGTTTATTCACAGCTTGATTTCAAAATTGACCTGTTTCATATTGTAGCCATTTTTGATTACTGGTCTTTGGATGTTTTAAAAAATAATTGGAAATTTTTGGGGGGGATCAATCACCCAATTTGCTTTGAACCCACAATCCCCCCCTCCCAAAGACATTCCAACCTGTGTTGTGTGGTGTCATTGACCACAAAGAGTCATGTTCTCACAGAGGCTGGGTCCCGCGTTGATCCGGTGCAAGGAGAAAGCAATATTGCACACTATTTTCACATGCCCGCGAATCGGTAGTGGTGTTACATCACGGCAAGCGGAGCTCCGTGTAGATCCTAAAAAGGAGCCGTGCCTGTGGGGGCGGGGGCCGCGAGGACTCCTCACAGCGCCCTCAGTGAGAGCTGTCAGGGAAACCGGGAGAGAAAACAATCTTCACTGAAGCTTTTTGCTATTTGAATTTCCGTCAGCTGCCTATTATCCATCCAAATATTAGAATCCATACATAATGGAGTTCCTTGGCTCCTACACAGTAATACCTTTAAGCACGCAAAAGGAAGTTATATCTTGCAAATTCCTCCAAAAAGGTTATCAAAATTGCCCTGAAGGGTTGACATCGTCCTGACAGGGATTGTTTTGAAGGATGATGTTATTATTTTTCATTGGTCATTCCACAAAAGTATTAGGAGGGAAGGAAAATTCGACACCTGTCCCTCTTGGATCTTATTTAGCAAAAAAAAAAAAAAAAAATACAAGATTTCACTTTAACAGGGTCTTTCAGGCAGAAAAATACGGCAGTAACATGTGTAAAGAAAATTTCAATATGTTTTGACAATAGTGTAATCTAGAGGAAGTGTTATACCCCTTGTGGAGGTCATCATTCTTAATACAGTGTGTGTCATCAATTCTCAGGACAACAGAGAAAATGATCTAGTCAATACATATGAAACAGAAATCATGCATAAACATGCTGCCTTACTATAAAGTGGGTGACACCACTGAAAATTGGATAGCAGGCCTGGATGCAATTTTCCATAACTTTTTATTATTCATAAGATCGTGTGATCTAATAAGCCACACCTCAAATTACTGTCCATTGAAGGTGTTCTTGAGTGATAGATTTTGACAAACCAGACAGAGGATATATTATGATTAAGATCAGATGCTGGTAGTGCTGGACTTTCCGCTGCTGACTGTTTTCAGCTGTCTTCCATCAATTCTGTACTTTCCCCCCTTAAAAAAATGAAGAAGCATGAATCCATGGGCTATGAACACATAAGAGAAGAAATCTATGAACTGATTATTCAGTAGGTCTGTTCTCAAGTGTCTCTCCATTTAACTGTGATGGGGGGGCCTGGGAGAGGGCTGATTTGAGAACAATGAGTAGAAAGGACAGAATATCTGAGTTGAGTTGAGAGATATAAGTATCTGAATCTGGCATTTAAGCATTTGTTAAAATACATAGCACTTTAAAGGGGCAGGGACTTCCTTAAATATTTAAATGAAATAGAAAAGAAAATAACAAACACACCCAAAACAACTGAAACCTTCACCTAATCATCTTTTGTTAAAATTAATAGAAGATTTCTGGTTAGGAACAGTACCTCTGCAAAGGCTTTTAAAAGCTCCTTCCTTCTTTCCTTCCCCGCTGTCTCTTTTGTTTTCTTTTCTCTTTTTGTTTTCTGTTAATAACTCCTCTGGTCTAGGTCTGTGAAAAGGACTCTGCCCCTTTAATTCATCAAATGCAGAAAAACTGGCGTAGCCAGTATCTACAAGCCACATTCCAAAGGGAGATGTTTTCAATTCACTCATTATAGAAAGGTCAGTCAGGTTCAAGTTCAATGTCATGGAAAAGAAGTACTCT